GCAAATAAAACAAAAATAACGACTTTATTCAACAATTCGTCTGCTCCGCGTCACACTGTAGCGCCTTTTTGGAGAATATCATCTGAATGCAAACAGCGTATGCTATTCTGTGTCAGCTGCGTCATACGTTTTCTACGTTGTTTACACTTTAAATTGAACGAAAACAATGTATCCGCGTGACGCAGCTGACACAGAATAGCATACGCTGTTTGCATTCAGAGGATATTCTCCAAAATGGCGCTACAGTGTGACGCGGAGCAGACGAATTGTTGAATAAAGTCGTTTTGTTTTCTTTGCGTACAAAAAGTATTCTCGTAGCTTCGTAAACTTACGCTTGAACCCCTGATGATGTCACATGGATTATTTTAACGATCTCCTTGCTACGTTTCTGCACCTTGATCGTGGTAATTACATTGCTGTCTATGGGAGAGTCAGAGTATCAAAAATATCTTAATTTGTGTTCTGAAGACGAACAGAGGTCTTACAGGTTTAGAACGACACGAGGGTGAGTAATTAATGACAGAATTGTCATTTTTGGGTGAACTATCCCTTTAAATGAGGCTTCTGTTTTATTTCTTGTCCTGCAGGGAGTTGTGGGAGGAGTGATGATTATAACGCCCAACAACATCATGTTTGACCCGCACAAATCTCATTAATTACTCACCCTCATGTCGTTCCAAACCCGTAAGACCTCCGTTCATCTTCGGAACACAAATTAAGATATTTTTGATGAGTTCTAACAGATCTCTGACTCTCCCATAGACAGCAATGTAATTACCACGATCAAGGTCCAGAAACATAGCAAGGAGATCGGTAAAATCCATGTGACATCATCAGGGGTTCAGCCGTAAGTTTACGAAGCTACGAGAATACTTTTTGTACGCAAATAAAACAAAAATAACGACTTTATTCAACAATTCGTCTGCTCCGCGTCACACTGTAGCGCCTAATTAATGACAGAATTGTCATTTTTGGGTGAACTATCCCTTTAAATGAGGCTTCTGTTTTATTTCTTGTCCTGCAGGGAGTTGTGGGAGGAGTGATGATTATAACGCCCAACAACATCATGTTTGACCCGCACAAATCTGACCCGCTGGTGATCGAGAACGGCTGTGAGGAGTATGGTCTCATCTGTCCCATGGAGGAGGTGCTGTCTGTGGCCCTGTATGACGACGTGTCCCGTATGAAGCTCAAGGACGCGCTGCCGTCGTAAGCAGCACTCCTTTCTCTCTCTGTCTTTGTCTTGTTGTCTTAGAAAACCCCCTTTTTGTTCTTATAAGATTTTATTAAAATGATTATGTGCATTAATTTTGTTTTGGAATGGCGACAAAATTTTGTTTTAGCACCATTAAGATTTGATTACGTAAAGGGCTGCACAATTACGACAAAAATCATAATTGTCGATTATTCCCTTGAAATTGTAATTGCGATTATTAATTACAATTTACATTGAATGATGTTTTGAATAGCTTACAAAATTTTGTTTTAGCACCATTAAGATTTGATTACGTAAAGGGCTGCACAATTACGACAAAAATCATAATTGTCGATTATTCCCTTGAAATTGTAATTGCGATTATTAATTACAATTTACATTGAATGATGTTTTGAATAGCTTTATACCATTGTTTGAAGCAACTGCATGCCATATTTTTATATGAAAGTTAACAAGCTGAAAACACTCTTCCAGAAAAACTTTAATTGCTTTTTTATAGCATTTAGCCTTTAAATGTCAACTATACATTGGTTTCACGGTAATCACGATTACCTAATTATATACCAATTGGGCTTTTATTATGTAATCTATGAGCAGCCAGATCCTTCGTTTTTTTGATCTTAAGGGGTTTAGCTGTTCTAATTTCTCATGGTTCAGTTTGTATCACAGTTCTGTGGTCTCAGTTTTGGTCCAGTAAATATTTGCGGGTCCATGGTTGAAATTAAATTAGTTTAGTATTTTAAATTAATTTAGTATTTAATATTTTAATACTGTGAATGACCAGTAACAATCCAGTTGTTTTGTTTGATTAAATGAAATTTATTTATTTTAATTTAGTATTTAATTTATTTTAATTTAATTCATTTTTAACTAATTTATTTTTTTATTGTTATTTTTTTATTGTATTTATTTTATTATTTATTTATTCATTCATTTTAAATGTAATTCACTTAATTTATTTTGGTTTTCATTTATTTTATTGTTTATTTTATTACATATATTAATTTATTTAAATGTAATTTAATTTATTTGATTTGATTTAACTTAACTATTTAACTATTTTATTTTTATTTTATTAAATTTATTTATGTAAATGTAATGTAATTTAATTTATTTTCATTTATTTTCCTTATTTATTTTATAAAATGTATTTATTTTTTATTTATATAAATTTTTTATTTTACCTTGTGTATTAATTAAAGTAATTATTTATGTTTACTTTAACCACACATTTACAGAAAAGGCTTAGTGGCAAAGTGAATAATTTAAATGTTTTGTGTAAAGTTTGTTTTAGAATCAGCGTGATAGTTGCATATTTCAAGCTTTAGTCTATTTGCCCCCCATAGACTACCATTGTCAATCTATTACTGTACATGCATTTTTAGTTTATTCCCACAAACTGAGGGATGCAAATCAGCTGAAATACTCCACCTCTTTCACTTTCTCTCATTCATTCCATTTCCGTTCAGCTTTGACACCAAACACCAGTTTTATCCCTTACGTTTTGTCATATTTATTTGTCATGTTCAGTTGAGTCTTGGGTTTGTTCATTTTGGATGTTTTGTTTGTTTTTCTCTTTAATTTCACCATCTCCACCCTCATGATGATGATGGCCGCTGTTATCCGTTGTAGTGATGAACCCCAGGATCTCTGTCCGTTATACAGGCCTGGCGAGTGGGAGGAGCTTCCCTCCGAACGAGATCTGAACCCCTTTAGTCGTTACGAGGCTCTCGGCGCGCCCAACCAGCCAATCGTGTTAGACGATATCGAAACGGCCATCTCTGAGATATCAGAGTGCCAGATCGCTGACAAATCGCCGTCGGACGAAGGTTTCACCGAACTGGAGCTGCTGCAGAGCGACTCTAACACCACCTGCTCTGGCCAAGAGGGGGCGCCACTACAGGAGCAACGAAAGACGCCAACGGACAAATCCGTGACTGAGGAAGACGAAGATGAAGGCCTTCACAACCGTTCCACAGAGCTTCCCGACAGGCTGGACGAACCCACGGCACTGGTGCATGATGGGAAGGAAGCTGTCATAGAAGTGGAGGAGGTGACCAAAACAAGGGGTGAAACGTTAGTAAATGGAGTCTCGGCAGTCGAGGCGACCGCAAGCGACCAAAAAGGGAAGACGACCCTAGAGGACTCTGGGAAATGTAGTTCGCCTGGACCAAATGTTGAGGATAATAAGGGACCAAACTCGGACGCACAGCTTTCTGAAGCGGAGCTGCGCAGACGGGCCAGTGAGGCCGAGATGAAGTCATGGCTGCTAAAAAGAATGCAGAGACCAATCGAAGGTGAGTCTGTGTGATTGACAGGAAAGACCAGCCAATCACAGCCAAGGACTGTTTTTGAGAATGCAGATGTTTTTTTTATTAATCTTATAAGCTCTGTTTCTGAAACTAATGTGCTGCTTTGCTGTCTATTGTCTACATAGGCAACATCCTAACTGAAATAAGAAACTTATTTATATATTATTATAGTATTTATTAATATTTTAAATTAAGGTTTTTTTTTTCAGTTTTTTTTAAATTATTATTTGGTGTGTGCTTTTGTCTCTTTTTTTAAGCATTTCTAAATAGTTTTAGCATGTCAGTTTTAGGTTTATTTCAGTTAGTATATATTAAGCAAATTTTAACTTGGTAATTTTTTGTACATATTTAAGCATGTCAACATATTCTGTTACACCAAATACACAAAATAATGATCTTTAAAAAAGCATCATATGACCCCTTTAATGTATATTAAAATAGAAAAACATTATTTTACATTATAATAATATTTCACAATATTACATTTTTTCCTGTATTTTTGATCAAATAAATGCAGCCTTGATGAGCAGAAGAAACTCCTGTAAAAAACATAAAAAATCGTTCTGATCCCAAACTTTTGAACGGCAGTGTATGTATATATATATATGCAGAGGCGGACAAAGTACATAACTCCATTACTTGAGTGAAAGTACATAGATCTAAATAGAGCAGAACGGTTTTCAGATATTTTTTAGCAATTTGTTCTCTAGATCATCTCGACTAATGAGGCCAGGAGACGCTGAGTTGAGATCTGATCTGATTTACAGACATGCTGCTGTCCAATGAAGAAAAGAGCAAAGCTCCGCCCATGTTCCTCTGCTTTAAGGTGGGGAAACCAATGAGGAAGTCCTTCGCCACTGGTCGGACGTCTAGCCCCGCCCACTCGTACATTGGCAGAGGGCGGCAGCCGGAATATTGGTTTGCTGTGCCTCAAGAGAGGTACGGATGGGCTCCTCAATATGTGAATGGGTTTAATATGAGAGAGTACGCTTGTAAACAAACCTTTCTGCCATTTCTCCAAAGAGTGGACCAACTGTACTCGTTCTTCATCCAGTGGTCTCCAGACACTTATGGGAAAGACGCTCAGGAGCAGGGCTTTGTGGTCGTGGAGAAAGACGAGCTCACCATGATCGACAACTTCTTCAGTGACCCGGTTCCTCGCAGCTGGGAGGTGAGGAGCATGCGACTCCAGGACACTTGGGAGAAACCGCTAAAAGAATATGATAAATATGAGGGCTTGGTTTGTTCTTTGTCATCAGATCATCACGATTAATGAGGCCAAGAGACGCCAGAGCTTCAGCTTCGAGGACGAGGAACCTCTAGAGCTTCTTCCTGTTCTGATGGACGCCAGTGCTCTTCTGGAGGACACGCACATTGAGAAGGTCTCCATTGTTTGCTACTTTAAAGGGACAGTTCACCCGAAAAATGAAAATGTGCTGTTCATTTACTCATTCAAGATGTAGGGTACTGTTTTATCTTCAGTAGAACAGTAAAGAAGATTTTTAGCTGAAATCGTGCTCCTTGGTGATTCATAAAATGCAATGGCTACCGGTTTTTGAGAATAAAAAAAAGCATATCAAGGAAAACAAAATTAATACCCGTGACTCCTGACGATATATTGAGGTCTTATGAAGCGAAACGATCAATCTGTGAAAGAAACTGGACATTATTTACAACTTTATTATCTTTAATCCAGAGCCTCAGGCAAACGAGTGAACCGATTCTTTTCTGAAGACCTGGTTCTTTCGGACAGTTTGTTTCAATGAACTGGTTCAGTTCACTAGTTTGTGAATGACGTAATATATACGCAATTATATTATTAAAGCACCCAATAATGATGTGAAACGTGGATGTTTTACGGCTCATCGGTCTTCGGTCCGAGTCGAACTGTTTCCTCGGTTCAGTGACTGTTGGAGGAACTGGAGCGATGAATCCGTTCATTCATCATTGAATCAGATACGCAGCTATTTTGGCTCATTTGGAGTCGGAGTGACTGTCAGGCGTCTGAAAGTGAGTTTTGATTGAGTAACTTGTAGATTTGTGCTGCTCGAGCCGCAAACTGTTGCAGGCGATTCAGTCCTATTTGATTAACTGGTTCAACTATTTCACTAAAAAGAATCGATTCAAAAGAATGATTCATTCGTGAACCAGAATCAGACCATTTGCCTGAGGCTCTGGAGGCTCTACAGGTAATAAAGTTGTAAATAATGTTCTGTTTCTTGCACAGACCGATCGTTTCGCTTCATAAGACCTCAATATATCGTCAGGAGCCACGGGGATTCATTTTGTGTTCCTTGATAAGCTTCTTCTTTTTTTTTTCTCTCAAAAACCGGTAGCCATTGGCTTGCATTTTATGAATCACCAATGACCATGGTTTCAGCAAAAAATCTTCTTTACTGTTTTACTGAAGAAAAAAACTCACCTACATCTTGGATGGCCTGAGGGTGAGTAAATTAACAGCAAATTATAATTTTTGGGTAAACTATTCCTCTAACAACTTAAAATGTTAAGGTCCATTGGGATTTGTTTGGGATTGTGATATTTTAAGTGGTGGTGATTGTGATTTGCTTGACACTCTCCTCTGCAGTTGTCCACTCGTTTGCCGGCCCGTGTTCAGGGCTATCCGTGGCGTCTGGTCTACAGTACAGTGGTACACGGAACCAGCCTGAAAACCCTGTACAGGAACCTACTGGAGCTGGACTGCCCTGTGCTGATGGTCATCAAAGACATGGACAACCAGGTACACGCACTACTGTGACCGCTGTTGGTGTACAACTGATGAAACTGGTGTTGCCATGTTAAAAAAACTTGTTGTTTTCTCCTGCAGATTTTTGGAGCGTTTTCCACTCACCCTTTCCGAGTGAGTGAGCACTGTTATGGTACAGGAGAGACCTTCCTCTACAGCTTCTGCCCAGAGATCAAGGTGTGTTTCTGACCTACATAGACTTTAGGGAACAAAATTGCTGTAAAATGCCCTTGCAAACGCCCTAGCAACCACTCAGAAAACATTTGCAACCGCAAGATAATGCCTTATCAACCACTCAGAAGTCTTGGCAACTGCTTAACCTTAGAAACCACTTAGAGAACATTGGCAATCATATAGCAACGCCTTGGCAACCACTCAGAACATCTTAGAAACTGCTTGGCAACATCCTGGCAACCAGTCAGAACACTGCTGTAATCGCCAGGCAACCACCGAGAATACCTTAGCAACTGCTTAGCAACACCTTAGAAACCACTTAGAGAACATTGGCAACCACACAGTCTTAACAACCACTCAGAATATCTCAGTAACTGCTTGCCAATGTCCTGTCAACCAATCAGAACACCTTTGCAACCGCCAGGCAGCCACCGAGAATACCTTAGCAACTGCCTAGCAACACCTTAGAAACCACTTAGAGAACATTGGCAATCATGTAGCAATGCTTTGGAAACCACTCAGAACATCTTAACAACTGCTTGTCAATGTCCCAGCAAGTAATTGACAGGTGACCACCCAGAATACCTTAGCAACTGTCTAACAACAACCTAGCAACCAATCAGAACATAGTCCTGGCAACCAGTCAGAACACCTTAGCAACTGCCTGGCAACACCCTAGAAACCACATAGAGAACATTGGCAACAACACAGTCTTAACAACCACTCAAAATTTCTCAGCAACTGCTTGCCAATGTCCTGTCAACCAATCAGAACACCTTTGCAACAACCCAGAACACCTTAGCAGCTGCCTAGCAACACCCTAGAAACCACTCAGAAACATTGGCAATCACGTAGCAATGCTTTGGCAACCACTCAGAACATCTTAGCAACTGCTTGGCAATGTCCCAGCAACCAATCAGAACACAGCTGTAATTGACAGGTGACCACCCAGAATACCTTAGCAACTGCCTAGCAACAACCTAGCAACCACTCAAAACATAGTCCTGGCAACCAGTCAGAACACCTTAGCAACTGCCTGACAACACCCTAGAAACCATTTGGAGAACATTGGCAACCACACAGTCTTAACAACCACTCAGAATATCTCAGCAACTGCTTGCCAATGTCCTGTCAACCAATCAGAACACAGCTGTAATTGCCAGGCAACCACTGAGAATACCTTAACAACTGCCTAGCAACACCTTAGAAACCACTTAGAGAACATTGGCAATCATGTAGCAATGCTTTGGCAACCAATCAGAACATCTTAGCAACTGCTTGGCAATGTCCCAGCAACTATTCAAAACATAGTCCTGGCAACCAGTCAGAACACCTTAGCAACTGCCTGGCAACACCTAGAAACATTGGCAATCATACAGTCTTAACAACCACTCAGAATATCTCAGCAACTGCTTGCCAATATCTTGTCAACCAACCAGAACACCTTTGCAACCACCCAGAACAAATTAGCAACTGCCTAGCAACACCCTAGAAACCATTTAGAGATAATTTGCAACCACATAGCAATGCCTTGGCAGCCACTCAGAACATCTTAGCAACTGCTTGGCAATGTTCTGGCAACCAATATGAACACCTTTACAACCAACAGACAACCACCCTGAATATTTTAGCAACTGCCTAATAACTCCCTAGAAATTACTTGGAGGACTATAGCAACCTTTATGTAATGCCCTAGTAACCATTTAGAAAATGGTAGCAACTGCGTAGTACCCAGCAACCCACCAGAGCTTGAATCTTGAATCAACCAAAAGGTCCCTAGCAAAAAATAATCAACACACTGGTCAAAAATTAAAAATCTTGCTTTGTCGCACCACAATTGATCGCGCGCGGTGTGAGTAGCTCCATAGGGATCTATTGTTTTGATTCAGGAACGTCATCACGTCGTACATTCGCATGACTTAATCGTGCTCAGTGTGAAAGGCCCTTAAACCTATTCAATCTTTAAATCTCTGTTCAAATGAAGTATTCAAACCTCATGCGGGCTCAGTACCTTCAAGTGACAGTTATATGTTTGTCTTTAGGTTAATTGAATTCACGTTTATTTGCATAGCGCTTTTCACGATACACATTGTTGCAAAGCAGCTTCACAGAAAATCAATGTTTAGTTAATGACGCTCAATGTCTTCAGGTTTACCGCTGGACGGGTGAAAACTCATACTTTGTGAAAGGAAACACAGATTCCCTTCAGATCGGTGGAGGAGGGTAAGTTCAGAAACATGCTAACGTGCCGTACATTCAGGTCTCGCTGCTACGTTTTTAACGCTCAACTGTCCGTTTCCCAGGGGTCGTCTGGGCCTGTGGCTGGATGCCGACCTTTACCACGGCACTACGTCCAAATGCTCCACCTTCAACAACCTGCCACTGTCCTCCAAACAGGACTTTACCATCCAAAATCTGGAGGTGTGGGCCTTCGAATGAGCGCCTGCGTCGCACGCAAACGTCCACACGCTAACGTACCCATGCGCACCAAGAGACGCCACGCCACGCTCACAGCATGATGACATACAAAGAACCTACTTGACGCTTTATTCCCGTACTGTACGAGGCTGTTTGTGTGAATCCAGTCCTACTTGACCACGTGGTTTTACTTGGTTTCTCCTAGTCTGAGCCTAGTTTCCTAGTCTGACTAGAGCGCACAGAGAGAAGTTCGTGGCAGCGATGCCGCCCACAGCTATCCCAGCATGCAATATTCTCTATAGAGATGTTCTCCTGCTGAAATATAACCAATATATAAACACATATGTGTATGTGAACGGTGAGGGCTGTGTATGATATTTGGGAAGCGTTCAAAGCCGAAAACATATACGGTGGCCAAATCTGTTGCTTCAAGGCCATTTTCTCGAATCGTATTCTTGGTTTACATCGTGGCGATTTGATGCATTTAGTTGGTGTATTTTCACGTTCGTTTGACGAGTGCGCAAGTAAATGCAAATATGTCCACGAATTGGTTTTGTTGACCAAAGCATTTTATTTGCCTTGTTCTCCAGTGTTTTATATTTCGTTTTTTTTCTTTTTCTATTTGAGTGTTTTTTTTTATTGGACGTGACATATAATCATATTCCTACCCGACAATGGTTTTACTGTTTTGTGAAATTTTAGGGACCTTTTCTAGTTCATTCGAAAGGGAAGCACTTGAAATGATGCCAGTATTACTCGTGAACACTATGGTAATCGCACGCCTGATTTCATTAACCGAGTTGCATCAGTTTCTGGCAAATCAGGTTCACCACTTCACTGTGGGTTTGTGTATGCAATCACTGACTGATGTCACTTCCTGTTATGCGGTAGCACGACTGTATAAGGAAAGTGTGAAAAGATGCACGGTGCAAATTCCGTTCTTGCTGTTGGAGGCTTGATCGGTTGCACAGCTCTTTGAAAGCATCCGCTTATTTCACTACGAGACCACTTCAGTGGGCATTAACTAACAGTGTCCATTCCAAATCCGCATTACATGGTCCATTAGGAAAAAAAAAAGTTTACAAGTGTTTCAAAGTGTCTCTGATTTCAAACACTGTCCAGTTGTGTATGGTAACCAGTGAATGTCATATTTATTGTGTATTTCTGTGTTTTAAAGTGAACCAAATAAATGCAATAAATGAAGAGGTAAATGACTCGTTTCATTGATTGAATATAATTTAATGCAAATATTTGTTATTTTAATACTTTTTAACAATTTACAATAAGCACTTATTTGTCAGCATTAGTTATTTTTTACAGCATTTATTAACCTTTGTTAGAAATAAAATTGTGTATTGTTTATTTGATTGTAAAGTGGTTCCTGAAATGTTTCACATACTATTTTTTTTTAAATGGAAGGTCCAGTTTACAGTAAATATTGTGCAATATATGTGGATATTTTATTCCAAACATAGAAACAAATACATTCATTTTAAACAGATTTTGTCCCTGAGATGCTGTTGGATCACAGTTTTACAGCATAAACACAATACAAGCAGAGAAAGTAAAATATAAAGCACAAAAATATAAAAGTTATTAATCAGTCAGCCATGGAAATATTTCTTAAATTTTCATAATTTTTGAAAATGTTTTTTCCTTGTATGTATATATA